AGACACAGCGAGGCAGCACAGATTGGTTGCTGTTCGCTGCAGTCTGCTGCTGCTGCCGACGAGGGTGAAGACACAGCGAGGCAGCACAGATTGGTGGCTGTTCGGAGCTGAACAAATGGCCGGAGCGTCGGTGGTCGAGGTTGGAGGCGCAGGTGCAACAAGGAGTATGTGGAAGAAGCTAAACTGAGGTTTCTCGTGAGGTTGCAGGTGAGTTAGGTGGGTTTTAGGCCATGCTTCTTATCTGAATCTTCTCATGACAGCCCATCAGCAGGTAAGGACCTCCAAATAAAAATAAGGTGTCAATCTAAGAATGGGTGGATAGGGTATGGGTTATAGTACCACAGGTAATACCCCCCCCCCCCTCTTTCTTTTTTTTTTTTTTCATTTTTATATTCCTCAATTAACCTCAAGCCTTAGTAATAAATATAAATGTAAAAGTGAAGGATTTCCCTTATATTCAAACTAGATACACAACTAAAAGTGCCAAAATCCATTTATAAAAACTACATAAGTATATCCATATGCGCATATATATTTATATATATATATATATATATATAAAGTTCAAGAATATGAGAAAGTATAAAAATACCTCGTAACGGAAAAGAGAGGAAACTTGACGCTAAAAGGACGATTGGAGACGGCGGGGAAGAGAATTTCAGGGTGTTACAATATATATATATATATATAATTGGGTTCCGGTGAGAAGGAATGTAAGAAGAGTTATTCACCATTTGATTAATCATAATTAAATGTCAACACTAATGTCAAATGTCTTATAACGTTTATCACCATATTTTTTTACACAATCATTCGCCTATATATACATATATAACGGACAATGAACAAAAATATCAGGTAAACGGGTATTCAATAAAAAAACATATCCATACCCTTATCCAAATGATCGAAACATTACAGGTAAATGGTTTATCATTATCAGTTATCGGTTATCAGCCTAGTAAAGTCAATTAGAGACATTGATTATGTCAATTGATGGAAATATGAAGTGTAGAGATTGATTAACCATTCAATATAGTGTTTATATTTTAGTGAAAGTTAGAAAATGCGTTCAATATTAAAGTCGCCTTGGGTGGAAAGCTTTGACAGAAGACAAGCAAAACGGCATTTCTCTATTTCGAATATGAAATTAAGCTATCAATCCGAGCCTCTCTCAATAACAAAGTGTGTTTGGCATTATGAATCCCGTACTTTAATGAAATGTTTTAGTGATTATTTAACTTGAAACTATGTACTTATTTAACGTAACACCCGTTAATAGTATGAAAATATATAGTTTATAGGATGTCACACGATATATTATAGGTATTATTACTAAATAATACAATCACCAAGAGCATAGGAGTTTTCTTAATGCATGCTTTCCATTTGAAATTTGTTAGAAGGCCAAAAATATACATTAGCAATATATTTAATAAAAAGCAAATATAAATGATTAAGAAATATCTACCAATAAAAATGCATGATAAAAAGAAGTTTGATTCAAGCTCGATCAATGATAATAGTGCTTGTATAGGTTCAAAAATCTCGATAAGAATTTGAACATATATAAAACTGAGTGTGATGGTTTATATTTCAAATTCACTTTTTGCAACCGAACTTCAGTTAAATGTTTTTTATATATTTTAAAATCCAAGTTCTAAATAGCGTGAAGCGTGCTGTAGAGTGACGGTGAGGGCAAGCCTCAAGTCTTGGAAGCCACAACGAGGTCATGCGTTTTCCTAGGCGTGACTTATGGCAACAAATTTCTATATCATATATAATATCATGATGATTGTTGCGACGGGTTTTTTCGAACAATAAGGAAAATCACATGTGGGTCACTTGACTTTCACATCGCCTGCACACTCCTGTATTAACCGTTGGTATAAAGTTATATGTGATTTTACACATGATTTAACCATGTTATTGGTGTTGTATTATTTGGTTATTGTTTTCGTTTTTATATATATATATATATATGTTTTGTAATTTTCTTTTATTTTTCTTTTTAAGACAGGGGGTGGAAGAAGGCATGGCAATGCAGGGGAATGGCAGAGACATGAAGGTCAACTTAGTTTGTCAGACTCGGAGATGTGCGAAAACCAAACAATTAACAGTTTCTACAAATCACACACAGTAACCCCGACAGAACTTTGATCCCTCTCTCACACACACTTCTCTAAACCCTCAACCATCACCGATCTCAGATGGGGTTTCAATCTCACCTGAGAACCCCGATTTGAAATGCAGCCAAGTAATTTTCCAGCATCACCTTTGGCGTTGATTCCAATTGCTTTCAATCATGTCAATGTGAGTCCTGTGGGTTTCGAGCTTTCCAGGGTTTGGTTATTGGGTTCGCTTCTCTTCTCTCAAGGAGGTGCCGTTGATAGCGGTGGTGAGATGGATTTGTCAAAGGTTGGTGAGAAATTTCTCAGTTCAGTCCGCTCCGCGAGATCCATCAGTCTTCTCCCTTCTACGTCCGAACGCCCCGAGGTAATTGAAAAGTTGTAGTGCTTATTTACACACATTTCTTATGCAGAACACTTTCAGATCACTCAGTTTTGGATTTTGTTGTATGAGTTGATCTGTTTATCAGGAGAGTAGCTCAAACCTCAACGTTATAAATTTTAATCATAATGTGCTGTAACATTCGTTAGTTACTTGAGTTACTTTGCAAACGTTCCTCACATTTAATGGTGATCGTCTTGTTATACTTGCATTGTATTTTTTTTTTTTGAAACGGCACTTGCATTGTATTATTGCAAAACTAATTTACTCCATAAGAGTTGCATAAAGTAGTAGCATTTTCACAACTAGGTTATAGTGCAATTATTTTGTTTGGGTTTGAACCCACATATATCCTTAGTTCACCTCTTGAATTTTCACAATAACTAGGTTTTGGTGCAATTATTTTGTTTGGGTTTAAACCCACATATATCCTTAGTTCACCTCTTGATTTCATTTCGTAGGTCCCATTCTATGTTGTGATGACAATGGAGATGGAAACCACAAAAATGGAGATGAGAAATGGACGTATATGCACTTAATAGATGGAGTCTTAATATACAACTTAACAGAGACAGAGACAGATCACCATGGAGTGGAGTATGTTGGGGATTAGATATTAGAATGTACGAATTATCACACAGGCTTAAAGAAGCCGTTTTGTAGTTAGGCTTAATATGATGTACCATACCATGATTTGATAAAGACAAGCAAACATGCATTGAGTGTATAGAACCATAAGACTCATTTTGATAATTGAAAGCACAGATACATTTTCTATATTAGTTGTTGCGACCTTTCATTTCAGCAACATTGCATTTTTCATGACCTTCTCCTCTTGGGGTCCTTTGACTCTTTTCCAGAAAGAGGACATGGCATCTTATATAAAAGGTAATAGCTACAGGGTCCAAGAAGCTGTTAAGGTCTGACCCATGGAAGAAGTCAATATGTTCACGACTCTATTAGCTAGTCAAATTTGTTGGCCTAGATACTTTTTCAAGAATAAATATGACTTGCTCCTTCCCATGAGAATGCAACAATTTCTATTTGTTACCCTAGATCCTGCGTGGAGTCAAACTTTGCAATTTCGATGGGATGGAGATGGAGTACTTTGTTTGTAATGAGAATTGATTCCAAACAAGTCAAGGAACCCTATAAAAGTCTTTATATGAATCAAGTCGTAAGAAGAAGAGTAAGGGAAACAGAGAGGTTCCAAGCCCACTTAGTGAAGACACTAAATCAGCTTGGTAGACTGTAATCAACTTTGAGCAAAACATACTCTTTCAGTAGTACAAAGTACAGCCTGCAGGCACTAGATTCACTTCTAACTCTAGTATGCTGGCAGAGGTCCGATTCTTATTCTTTTATTTGCTTTACTCAAGCAACTTAGCTTTAAATAGCTTCCACCAGCCGATCAATGTTTAGTGCCAGAGTAAGTGGTTTTCTTGGCATGTTCAATGTAGGCTTTTTCTATAAGCTGATTTTATTCTTCTGTGATTAGAAAAGTTATCTATCTCTAGAAACCTATATTATTGCCTTTTACTTCTTTCCTGTTTGCAAGTTTGATAACTATTTTACTCAACTGCTGCTTTAGCAAATAATCTGGAAACTACTGGTCACGATATGATGTAATAATGTCTAAAACATACGGTCATTGAATTAGCTGCTTGATGAAATATTTATGTTGCTGTCCCAATAGGTCTTTGCAACATGATCAGATGCAAAATATTTTTCTTTCAGATTCCAGCACGGGCTGCAACTGCAGCAACTATTGCTCGTGCACTTGCTTCAATCCCTCCACATCATAGGCAAAGTCTCTCTTCAAGTTCTGAAGAACTGAGTTCAATATATGGAAGCACATCCCGTGGCCAAGTAGTGGAGGAGCTTGAAGAAGAATTTTATGAAGAGGTTTAACATCTTTGGGATTTGTAAATTTTCATTTCAGGGTGGTCAAAGCATATTCTGTACTGTCTTCTCGTTGGTACCACGTAAAAAAATGCTATATAAATAGATTATTTAGTACATATCACTTGTTGGGAAATATACACACTCTCTATTATCCAAGATTTCAGGCATGCTATATATTTGCAGTGTATATCAATAATCATGCAAATTGGTGTCAGTTTAGGTGTTTGGAGAATATAGAGGCTGTCAACTGGCCAAAGTGGCACAAGTTTGCAAGATATGTAAATGTACATTCTCAACACCAAATTGCAAGGTTCAAGGTTTAAATGACATGACCTTAAATAGGAGATACATGAGATGGTTAACATAGTCTTGAAGCTCTGGATTTCTTAAGGCCACAAAGTGAGTGATGTATTGTGGCAAAACCAAAGCTGCTTTTTGCAGCTTAACCTTTAATGACGCTTACTTTATGTCCTCAATGCATAGAAGAAGGAGAAAGGGGAATCCCTTATATAATATCATGGTGGCTATTATCTTAGGAAGAAAAAACGATCAGTTGACATTCTTTATTCCCAATAACGCTTTCAATATTGTACTCAAGGATGGGCATACTCTCAATAAAGCAGCATGGCATTGCCTTCTAAGCATACCTTGTAGTTAGTACTCACATTGCATCTTCTCCAACATAAAAAAAGAACTTATTAGAACTTACATAGACTTGGTACTAGTGTGGCAGGAGTAGAATCCAAAAGGTAAAATGTCAGTCACATAGTGAAGATGCTGCTCACTCCATATATCTTTGGTCTGATATGGATAAATCTCATAAGCTTGTTTACCCTTTGTGTCAAAAAATCATTCCATCGCAGAAGATTGCTGAGTTCTAACCATTCTCAAAAGATTTAGCTGATCTTCTGTTATTTGGATCTCCACTATTCGTTTCAAATGGTTATGATGTGAGCGTAATTTATCATTCTTTCGCTTCAAGTTGCTTCAGTGACATTTAGTTTTGATTCTTGTTCAATTACTATAAAATTGTTCCTAGCCCACCCACACTAGTTTTGATAAAAGATTGGTTGTTTGATTGTTTCTATTTTTCTGTATTGTCTTTATTTACTTATTCATTTGTTCATCCTTAGGTTTGAGGGTGGGGTGGGGAGGAGCACCGAACTAAAATTTATACGAGTTTTGCTTCTTAGATAAGCATGTAAACAATGCATCATCCCAACTTATATAAACGTGCCACATTTGCTAAGAGCTGCTGAATTTATGTGCGTAGATGTTTGACCCCGTTCGGCACACTTTAGAGAATCTTCCATCTGAAGAAAATGAGCTCACGTATTTCGAAGGGAAGGTAATATTATGATTTATTTCCTCAAGTTCTGGTTCCTGTTTGGCAATTAAATATTCTGTTCATTTTTCCATGGGCCGTACTACATTCATCTAATTTTGGTTGAGCTTTTGGAACTGGTTGGGATTTGAATGCATCTTGTTGTTCTTATCTTTAGCATGTTTATATTTGCTAAAAATGGATTCTCCCCTTCCAAACTCTATCTTCCCCCTTCCTGCAACCTCATCCTCAAATACATATGGCATATTTAATTACTATGATGTTTGGTACCGTGGTTGTACCATGCACATCTCAGAAAAACCCACATGATTAATGAAAACATGTATACTCGTTTTACCTAATAACATTGTAATATTTCTTTCTGAGCATTCTGTGTGTGAGTGTGATATATATATATATATGTATATATATATATATATATATATATATATATATATATATAAAGAGAGAAACTACTTATGTTTTTATGTTGTTGCTTAATATCTTCTAGCCTTATAGTTAGTTCTGTTAAGAAAAAGTTGTATAGTTCTTTCTGGTCTCAGGGTCCACTTTTTAATTCTTTTTTCCCCTCAAACTCTTTAAACTTTTTGACGAACTTTCTGAAAGTCTCATATCAAGTTTTTTTTCCCACTATTCCGAAATCAGGGGATTTTCACGGAAACATCTGCTTTATTCTTTGGAGTAAGGACAAGTCTGCATACATCCCGTAGTCCCACCTCTGAGTGGGATATACTCGTTTGGTTAGGTTCTGCAATATGTTGTTTTATATGCTGCTCTTAGATTATACAACTTGACAAGTAACATAAAATTTCTCTTGCCAAATGATGAAGCACCTATTATTTAAATTTGCATGTTCGAGGAACAAACTACTCGGGTTCTCTTCCATCCCCATTCTCTCACTCCTTTTGCCATGTTGCATGTGTATGATGTCTGGTTGTAATTTTCGTGTTGAAAAAAATTTGTTGTTTGATTAGTAGAAAAATCTGTTTTGATCTTTTCTTTCCGAGAGCAATCTATCGCCGTGGAAGAGAAAAGGATCCAGGGATCTGTTCAAGTGTGCGTATTGGTTTTCTACTTTGCCATGTATTTAGATTTGTTGATGTTTATTATTTGAATCTGGAATTTGTTGTTTATAGGCTGCTCTTAGGTTATTACAGCTGGATAAAGTAACGGAAAATCTGTCGCGCCAAGTGATGGAGCACCATGAAGTAATGGGTAAGATAAATTCCAAATTAAATTCACCTGTTGTTTATTATAACATTGGTGTGTTGTTCTTCATAATCTAGCCAGAAAATGATTCGCATCATAGTTAGTTCTTATCATTTCTTGCAAGTCGCAAGTCTTTGGTGTCAATTGGATTAGGGTATCTCTATCTTTCACGCGTGCGCGCGCACACACACACACACACACACTCACTCACACACACACACACTCTCTCTCTCTCTCTCTCTCTCTCTATATATATATATATATATATATATATATATATATATATATATAGAAGAAGGATCATGCGAGAAGTTACACATTTTGTGAGAAGGAGAGAAGTTTCAATATCATATATGATTACACTCCTTTGGGTGTGTTTAATCATATATGATTAAGCGTCTATGAGTTGTCAATGCAACATGTGTTTAATCATATATGATTAAGCTTGTGTATCGTGTGTGTAATCATATATGAGATTGAAACTTCTCGCCTTCTCGCAAAATGTTTAGCTTCTCGTTTGAACCTGCCCATCTACAGAAGTGCATTTAGTTTGTTATTATGGTTTAGCAGTTGAATACAATAAGTGGTTTATGACTGTTCCAGGTTAGGTTTAGAAGATCCCAAAGTCCATTAATGATGTGCTTGTCTGAAATTATCTAGACATAGAAAATTAACCTGTTAACTAGGTTACAGTTTGAACCTTTTCTCAAGCTTCATGAAAACATCTCTACTTCTTGCCCCTTGGAATAGAAGGTCTGTGTACATCCTCCCCTAAGCTACTTCTGAATGAGATATATTGAGTGTGTTTGGTTTGGCTAGTATAGAACTGAACAATACAGGACTCATCTAACTACCATCTTATATGACGACTTTGTTGTTTCATATTGATATATGTATCCTGGAGACACATGCTAGTGATGTTCTGTTTGCCTGTATTACTCTATTCCTTTCTTCTGGTAGTTGAAATGTGTATTGTGGGATCCATCTTCCAATGCCGATCCGAATATGTAACGGATGTTGGATTTTATGGATAGCTGTTAACTGCGTCAGAAAAATCAAAAGGAGATGCTAATAGTTATATTTTTTCAGTGAAAGGGATGCATTTAGTAAAAGAGTTGGAGAAAGACATGAAGGTTGCAAATGTCATATGCATGGTAAGCAGGTGATGGTGTTTAGATTTATCCACCTTAACCTGATTTAATTGAGCCATAAGCAGATAAGCTTAAGGGACCTGGAGCTTGGAAGTAGTATAGCTATATAATTCAGTATGTGATTAAGGTAGGATTTTTTTTGTCTCAGAACTTGTTATGCGTGTTCATTTATACTTGCAGAATGGACGGAGACATTTAACTTCTTCAAGGAATGAGGTGTCAAGGGATCTTATTGTTAACAGAAATTCTAGAAGGAAGCAAGCTCTTCTGGTATTGCCCATCCTCTGAGACCCTTAAAAATATTATTTCTGCTTATATTAATCAGCCTACATGTATTCTTCGTATAAGCTAGATTTTGGTGAAAGCAACAAATGGCATGCAACCTAGGTGGTTCTAGAATGGTTCCTGGATTCTATGCATGGTATAGGTTGTTGATCAGAAAGTTCCCAAAGTAAAAAACTGGTTGATTTGAATCAATTTGTCTTGAAAATTAATCTAACCATATTGATAGGGTGGTAGTTTGAATGTTTTTGTGGTGTAAATCTATTTATAGCTGGTGTTAAAAAATATCTGCAGATATATTTGGTCACAATCTGAATTTTTATTCATGTATGCACCAGCAATTTAAGCCATCTTTGCTCCCAGTGGAAGTTCTCTAACAAAATGAAGACTACCCTTTTTGATAGAAAAAGTTCGTATTAACACATCAGTTATGGGAACAAGATTCCTACCTTACATGAAAAAGGAGGAAAAATTTCCAGAAACAAAAAGAAAGGCAACAATTCTCATTTATCATCTTATAGTGCACTTTATTCCTTCGTTATAGTTACATACCCTTCAGTTTCTTGAATAATAAGAATCCCCTGCATATATTTTTTCAAATAAGCAGGTAAAGTGTAATTAAATTGGTTTACATTCAATGCTGAGTTTTAGTAGGCTTGTGTTTGTGTGTGAAGGTCTCTCAGCTTATGTGGATATAGTGCTATTTGTTGTTGCAATCTTCATGTGTTCATATGTGGAAACTATGTAAAAATGAAAATTAGTAACAAACTGAAGTTTGTTAGAAAGTTGGGGGGTTGAAGATGATGTGACATTGGAGTTGATCTTGTGCTTCTCTCCATTGTTTTTTGAAGCTAATGTGGAGAGGGAATTGTTTTAAGATGACTAACTGTATATCCACACCCCACAAAAAAATTGCAGGACATACTCCCAGTTTTAGCAGAGCTTCGTCATGCACATGACATGCAAGTAGAAATTGAAATCCATGTCGACGAAGGGAACTTCTTTAAGGTCTGAAACTGCTTTTCTATATTATGACAATTGAGCCAATTCTTTTGCTAAGTGTAGAATATTATGCATACATATCTCTCTATTCAAGAGTGCAGCTTTATGTTAGACTGGTTCATTCCACAGGCATTCCAGGTGTTGTCTGAGTATCTTCAGCTTCTGGATGGTTTCTCAGAGCTTTTAGTCATACAAGAGATGAGTCGTGGTGTGGAGGTAATAATCTCCTTGTTGTAGCGTAGCTGCTATTTCTGGGATGAGAAATCAACCTGGCAACTGGGTTACATGAACTGGTGGCTTGTTGATCTGCAGGGGTGCCTGGTTGTAGGCATCTTAAGCAATTGAGAGTGAGAAAAATTGCTTTGTTCAGAAATAAGTTTACATAAGGGTTGCATAGTGAAGATGGTCAATTATTCACTTGCATGCCATTGTTTTGTTAAGGTAAGCATGGCAAAAAAGTTAAAATATCTGATTTAAGAAGGCACAAGATAATCTAAGAGTAATATGTAGGAACTCCTCCATTGTTACATGAAAAAGAGTGGTCTTTGAGTAAAGACATTCCAAACGAGAGGTCGTGATGATATCCGTATCGCATCGCTCCTCCGGGTAAACTAATATTTAGTGACAAGGGGCAAATAGAGAATGCAAATTAACATGTTCACTTTTTACTCAAAGGAAAAAGGTAGAAGGTTTAGAATACGACGTTGTTGAGTTGGGTTTATTGTGATGTGATAATCATTAGGTCAATCAGTTTCATGCAGTTCAACAACTAGATGTTATTAATAACTATATATTGCACTGCATTTTTGAAAGTTTGGTACTAGTGATTCTGGAACTGGATACAATCTTGTATGTGACTGTAATTTCACTGAATAGTTTTAGTCAGGTGGTGGTTTGCGCTACATAGAGTTAGCTCTGGTTGTTGACTTGTTGTACAATTTAAAGAGAGTTCTGATCTCTCACTCAGGCCAGCAATGCAAATTCATGCATCAGCTTGGTTACTGGTCTTTTTCTTATTAATGTGCTGGGGTTTGGTTCAAATGGCTAGGATGGCCTAAACATCGTTGTCTGGAAGAAATACTTATGATCCTATTTCCTTTTTGCTTTTGTTCCAAGACTCTTCATCTTTGCTAGGATATGATAACCTGACCTATTTTTTGTTATATACATCTTTTCTGTTCTAGTTTCGTCCATAACTGGAATTATCCCATTATGATTTCCTCCAATGGTGTAAAATATCAAACTACACTCTGATGTAGGCATTTATTCTTCTTAATGCAGATCTGGCTGGGAAAAGCTCTACAGAAATTGGATTCACTTCTATTGGGAGTGTGCAGAGACTTCAAAGAAACAAGCTTCATAACAGTGAGTACATTGATTTATTGATATGATGTTTTCTATTCTTTCATGGGGTCCAAAAGATAGTTAATTTTCTTATATGATCATATATGATATACTGCCTTCTTTTACTGATTGGAGTTTCTTAAGATTAAGGGGTTGTTTGTTTACCTCTTAATAGTTCCATTAAGAGGCAGTCTCTGAATCGTGAAGGGGTAAATCTTGTTTGACATAAAAAAGTCTGTCTCTTAATGGTTCTAAAACCATCTGAATGATTTTGTATCATGGGCCTCCCTTAACCATTCTGTGCCCTAATTTCATTGTAAACAATTACCAAACAATTATATTTTATTTTGCAATATATCATTAGAGTCTCATAATCATTTTGACCACTTAATCATTCTGCACCAAATCATTCAACAACTGCCAAACATCCCCTAAGTCACATTTGGCATTGATGCTGAAACACAGATCAGTTGAACTGGTCAAGTTTTACATCAGGAATTTTCTTTCCAGTGGGGCTTTGGCACAATATGTCGCGCTACTCTGACCTAAAAGTCATGGGTTTGATCATGTAAACAGCTTCTTGCTTTGATGTTGAAGGCTTCGTCCATGATATTCTCACAAATCCCACAGTGGTGGGAACCATATACAGTTTGCACCGGATTATCCTTCAGTCTTATTGTCATCTTCATAACTCTTGCATCATGGGAGGTGACTATAACCATTGAGCTAGGTACTAAGATGGGTAATTGGGTATATGGTCTTGTTTACCAAGGTCATAATGAGATGGGTAGAAATTCTAGTAGCCTTGAGCTGGGGTTCATGCACCGAGTTATAAGTGACATTCTTGCAGACGTATGGTGTTAAAATATATTGGTTTTATAGTCTCTCTGTCCAACATTAATAGTTGCTAGAGTAGTAAACATGCCCCGAGTTGCAGTGGCCCCTAGGTCCAGATGATCTCTTAGGCACACCTTAGCCATTGCCCATTTGGGGTATTTCTTTTTCTTCTTTCCTATCATTCCTTGATGAGTTTGTTTCATTGTGCCATGCACATTTAATTTTTTAGTAAATGTTTGCACGTCATGTTTAGGAATTAAAAATTAGATAAAACTTGCAAGTTGTAACTAATAATGGTTCTTTGGAGGTGATCTTGCTTCTGGCTTGAGCTGTAGATATTAGCTAATATTGTGTAAAACATCAACACCATCTGGCCCAACCATAAATTTGGGGGCACATGGCAAACAGAGTTTTGTACTCTCATGCTAGTCACATCTTTGAAAGTCCTTGTTTTTTTTCCTTCACCATGATCAAAACTCTGGATGAGTTCACTGAAGATATTTGAGAAATTATGTAGTGATCCTAGTTTAGTAAAGAATTCAATTCCATATTTTCTTTATATTTGTTTTAGTACTTCTAGTGGTAGTAGGTGATTAGGATTGTGTTTCCTAGTTCTAAGAGGTCCAGACTTCCAGAATATTCTCTCCTTTTACATGTATCGATGCAACTCCCCTATTGTTTAGTGTAGAGGATTGCTATTTGATCGTGTGATGTGCTTTCCCTAGCAACTCTTAGTGAGGGCATTCATCATCTCTTCCAATTTTCTCGGTTTCACCTCTCTATTACCTTCTCTATGTTGTCATACATCACATGGGATGTATTTCAGTCATTTTATTTCTGTATGTATATGTAGTATATATATCCAACAATATATCATTAGCTTATATACATATTTCTATATGTAGTATATATGTGGTGTATCAAACAATATATCATTAACTTATATGTATATGTAGTATATATATGGTGTATCAAACAATTCATAAACTAAGTTTCTTGCCAATAATGAGATTTTATAATGCATACTGTGTCCTGCATGAGCTACCATTTTGGATTGTCTGGTTTTTGTGTTTGACATTTCATGCAGTTCTTACTGGTATATCCATGAATCACAAACAATTCTGCGTTACATTGTCAAACTTTAGATTGTAAAAAAGCTCCTTCTTGGTACCCATTTTACTTTCAATTTGTGTTATTCTGTATTCTCACTTCCGTAATAAGGAATATGTTGTGATATTTACAGGTGGTTGATGCTTATGCATTGATTGGTGATGTTTCTGGTCTTGCTGAAAAGATACAAAGCTTCTTTATGCAGGAAGTTATATCTGAAACCCATGCGGTACTGAAGAATATTGTGCTGGAGGTACAATTTTTTTTACCAGTTAGTGGAGAGCAAAAGAGAAAGAAGATAAGATACCACACAGAAAGGGAATGCATCCATGATTACGTACGCACTTGCATGATCAAATATAAGCATAGTAGACATAAGACACTTATCAAAAATAACCTTTTTCCTCTCTTATACATTAATGGATTTTTACATGCATCAATACTTTGTTGCTTATGCATTTGTAAGATCTCAGATGGCATGAAGCATTTGTCATTCCAGTTCGCCAAATTGAGCAACACATTTTCTGTACCTTACTAGTGAGATGATGTTTGCGGAAATCTTTGGAGTTCATATAGATAAGACATTGCCTTTTTGTCATATGATAATCAAGGATGTTCTTAGGGTGGACTGAGACATACTTAACCTTGGGACAGTGTGGTGGCTTATTTCTTGATCATAGTTAATACCTTAGGGTACTTAACCAGATCTTTTGCCAGTGCACTAGGCGTAACCAATATAACCATGTCAATCATTTGTTATTTAATAGCTATATCCATCTCATGGATAATTAACTAACACTGCTATGACTACTTGAAAGTGCAGGATCTAGAAGCTGCTGAAATTCAAAGCACCAGGTATCATTTTATTTGTATTTTCATCAATTGTTTGGTATATATAAACTGTCTTTGTTTTACATTTGTTATTCAGCTATCTTTGTGTTTGCATATTAGGCTTACATATAGTGATCTATGCACACGGGTACCTGAATCCAAGTTTAGGGAGTGTTTGTTGGCAACACTAGCTGTCCTCTTCGACTTGATGTGCTCGTATCATGCAATCATGAATTTCAATTCGGATAATAAGGTATAAGTCATAGTTTCTGTTGCTTTCTTGATTTACTATTAACTTGGGTCTATATTACTCCTACCCAAGGATTAATTCTCTTTGATGCATTACTGTGGTTGGTGGTTGTGGCCTTGTGGGCGATTGATAGACTGGTTAGTTGAGATGTTCACGTTAGTTTTCAGGTTCCTTTTCTTTCATGGTTTCACTTTTTAGTTATTGTCCTTCATTTAACTACTCATTATTTGTGCCTTTTGAGGATTGCTAATCCTCAAAACTCTCTTTCGTGCACGTGCTTGTGTTGGCTTGAGCAGCTCCTTACTTTTTCAGGAAAAAAATATGTGCAGTTCTTGTAGCTAAGCTGTGCTCTTGGACATGATTTTAATGTCTTATCTTAGTGCCTGGTTGAGTATGCTCATAGGCCCTTGTATTTGAACCTAACAGTGCATTTAATGCAAGTTGCCTCTGGCTGGGCATGCTCAATGAGGGATCTTGCTGAATCGGTTCCCATTTTTGGGACTCTTACGCTTCTGTCTTTTCTGGTTCATATGTCTTTATGCAGAGAGTCTCCTTATGGCTTTAGTCATGGTACAGAAGGACCATAGATCAAGCCCAGACAATCCTAAGCTGCTTATGAGTTATGAAGAAGAAAATTGTAATAATATTCAGTGATCTCCAATGCTTTTTTTTTTCTTTTACTTGTTTAAATGTATAACCCATCATATATAGCATGGTCATCTGAGTTTGTATAGGTTGTCAGTTGGGGAATTTTTAGGTTGTGGTTTCATTAATTGTCATCGTATATGTTATATGGTATTACTCTCGAAGCTATGTGAAACGTAAATATTAGCTTGGACGATTCAGTATTCTGTATATTAAATTACGTCAACATTTGACACGTTACATCCAATTATATTCTGTGCCTCATAACTCCTGTAACAAGTGGAGATTTGTATTAGTGTGGTAGAAGCAGAAAATAGAACCATGTTTAAGCCTGCCTAACTAGTTTGAGAAATTATTGAGTTACTGATCTAGCCTCAGCATCCACAGTTGCTTCACTAGCTACAATGAGAGTTTCTTGTCACGAGTCTGCACATGGGGCTAAAGATGTTCCAATCATGATTTTCGGTAGTTGGGCTGTGACAATGGATCAAAAGCCTGAGGTTATTTTTGTGACGTTGGGCTATAATCAAGTATTTACTGAGATCATTTTGGTAATTATTAGATTTTGATTTCATCCAACTTTTTTTGTGTATCATTACTTCATATAAATTGTGTCAACACTAAGCTAGTATTGGTTCTGCATTGGTTGATGGTCCTCTCCTACTACAGGTTCAAGGATTTTTTACATCATATTTTCCTGTAATAAAGTAGCAATCTTAATCTCATTTAGGGTCCAGCTGTTTCGAGACTATATTCTCTTCTATTTCTCTGTCACAGGTTCCGTTGGACCGTTTATCACCTGCTATGCAGGAAGGATATGAAGGGACTGGTTCTTCTGAGGATGTCCAACATGCTGATCCATCATCACAAAACTGTTCTAGTCTCAAGGCAGATGATGGTTCTCTCTCTGAACCGTCGGGCCAAGTGCCCAATTTAGCTTCGTCGGAGGAGCCTACAACATCTGCCACCACCTTATCTGACGCTAATGGAATCAACAACATCACGCATGATCCTTCTGGTTCAGAATCGAGGGATGATGGGACTGGAGCTTCAAGCAGTGGATCCTCTTGGTTTCAACTCCGGAATGATGCCACCACATTTGTTTCACAAACATTACAGAGGGGTCGCAGGAATCTTTGGCAACTTACAGCGAGCCGTGTGTCAGTATTGCTTTCTTCCGATGCAGTTGGTTCTACTAGCATTCATCAGTTTTTGAAAAATTATGAAGATCTCAATACCTTCATCTTAGCCGGTGAATCTTTCTGTGGGGCTGATGCTGTTGAATTTAGAATGAGAGTGAAAGCTATTTGTGAATGTTACTATACATCTTTTCACCGGCAAAATATATATGTAAGTTGGCATATACAGCCTGCACATACTAATTAACAGTTCATTGATATGTTATTGTCGCCTGTCAGGAAATAGACGAGAAAGAAAAAGAAATAATGTGTATTGCATTATATAGAGATTAATTCTTAAGAGTTTTCTGCCACATTTAAGTGATCTTATGGATTAAAGGAGCCTTAAGGAATATCTTCGTTGGGTTTTGCGAAAAATAGTGACAGGATATGGAAGCCTAAGCTGAACTAAACGAATTAAATGAGCTCTAAGAAATCATTTGTGATTCAGTAGGTTATATGAAAAAATTAGAAAATCGTCATAAATATATGTGAAATGAGTAACTTTGACAATGGAGGACTTCTATTCAAGTTCTTTTTATGTTTACTAATAGTCTGCATTACTATTTAATTTGGAAATTTTCTTCTTAATAGAGCTTAGTCGATTTAGCAATAGGTCTTCAGTGTTAATGAGGACATCATCATATGTATTTTGGTCTCTAATATTGAATATTAATTTTGCTGAAGCATGTGAATCGTGAATGATTAGATCATTGCTTATCTTTCAGGCTCTAAAAATGGTTTTGGAAAAAGAGAGTTGGTTCACGATGCCGCAAGAGACAATCCAGGTAGTTAGTTTTGCAGGCCTTGTTGGTGATGGAGCTGCGTTAATTCTTCAATCTGCTACCTCCTCCACTTCAAGAGAGTTGCAGTCCCAAAAATCAGCAGATTTGGTGAAAGTGAAAACTATCCCCAATCAGAGTGGGTTTTCCCACTGGATTAGTAGTGGAAATCCATTTGATCCAAAAATTGCTTCCAAGGAGTTTGATGATTTTTCTCCACGTGCTGCATCAGCAGTCTCAGAAGAACCCAATGAAAATTTTAATGAGGCATCTCACAAGAACAATTCATCACTTAACAGTGATGCAAACCATAGCAATGGCCACGTTGATCTTGAAGATGAAAATGAAGATCTCCATGCAGATTTTATTGATGAGGACAGCCAACTACCTAGCCGGATTTCAAAGCCCAACCGTTCAAGAAATCACTCTTCACCATGGAGTGACGAAGAGATGGAAGCACACACAGGATCTTCAATATGTGTCCTAAGGTTAGTTATTTCTCCAGACTCTTGGATAGTAAGTGTTCTGAGTGCACTATACTGAATATTATTTTCATACAATAGGCTGATGGATAAATATGCAAGGTTAATGCAAAGATTAGACATAGTCAATGTTGAGTTTTTTAAGGTACGTTCTTATGTGATAGCATAATATCTTTTCACGTTTTCTTAGTTGTCTTTGCATCTTTATTCTTACTATGCTAAACAAGTTCTTTTTTTGCCTTTACACAACTTTGTCTAAACCAACCAATTTTTACAGGGGATATGCCAGTTTTTTGGGATATTCTTTCATTTTGTTTTTGAAAGCTTTGGGCAGCAGAACACCAATCCTGGTGGTAAAGGATTAAATGATGCTCTTGGTTGTGAGTATACTTTAGCTTCTCCGTGCTTATTTCTCTCTCTGTTTTCTAAGTTTTCCTCTCTCTAGAAACCAAATATTAAGTAAAAGACATAACTTTTGCCTGATTTAACCTCCCGTTGTTCTTTTTCACCGAGTTTCTGTAACAATCTATTACATACCTTTCTGGATCTATGCTTCTTGTGTATATGAGTTTACTTTGTGGTGCTCAGATCGGCTGAAAACAGCCTTATCCAGAATACGGAGAGATTGTGATCAGTGGGTAAAATCCCCATCTTCTTCATCCTCTTCGTCTACGTCTTTGAATATGCCATTGCCTCATACTGACGCTGCGCCTAATGGTATACCCAATTCGAATCTTTGTCATGTGCCCAACACCTCTTTTGGCCTCAAGGTACCTTACATACAGTTATTTGTTGTATGCCTTTTTCATATGCCGACAACTACTTCTTTTCTTTATATGTTTAAAGAAAGCTTTGTGTTTCTTAACGGTGAGGTGGGATATCATTAATAATCCGGTGTTTTTATACTTCCCTGTGAAATTTTAGATGAACATTGAATTCATCATTTTACGGTGTATAGGTACAAAGATGTTAGAAAATTATACACAAGCATACAACATCAGGGTGCTGTCTCTTAGAATATGGATTTTAATAATGTTTTAGGATAACATGACTTTTAAAACTACAAGTTCAAATATTATTTAGATATCTCCAATCTAGGAGTATAAATGGTAAGGTACATCTCTCGTTTGGTAAAAGTTGTATATAAATGGTCTCCCACCTATGCTTTAAAAAATTGAAGGCTTCTATTACCATGTGCCACATTCTGTTTAGGAAGCAAGGTTTGCAATTGCAATCAGCTGTTAGATCTATTATATCGGTCCAATATACTTTGTTCGGAACATATCATGTACAGATTTATCATCATCTGGGATATATAAAAATGTACTGTGTAAACTATACTGCCTTTCTTTATAGGCTCCAAAATTGATCCGTGCTTCTACTGCTTCTTGCTTGGTCACTTTTTTTTTGTTGCCAATTCTTTGTTTCTGAATCTGGATTAATTAGCCTATCAAAATTCAATATTTGGTTATGTTGCAGGAAAGATGTGCAGGAGCTGACACCATAACTCTTGTTGCTCGATTATTGCATAAATCTAAGGCCCATCTTCAATCAATTCTTCCGAAGAATAATGCAGCAATTATTGAAGACTTCTATGTGCATTTGGTACACTTCAGTTACTTAATAGGGAGTCAAAATTTGAGATAGATTTTGATGTACTTGTTTTTTAGTTATGTAAAGCTGACACAAATTATAATTTGGTGCATAAAACTTCAGTTGCAATGGGAAAAAGTTGCAACATACAAACTGAGACATACTCTGCTCAAGTAGCCAAATACTATTCTACCAACAACAACAAAACGAGCCCAATATATCTCACCCGGGGGTGGGCTGAAACTAAACTTCCAGTACTTCTGTCTTGATATTCTACTTCAGAATATGTATCCCTCTGCAAACCTTAACAAATGCATGCATTCTTATATGGACAAATGAGGCACCGCTCTCTGTTAGCATGCATCCAGTTAACTGTTGCACTTATTATTACTTGTAGGGGGGATTTTTTTGCGACTACCAATTCCTTTCCCATGGACTTGAATTTAGAACTTTTAAAAGATCTTAACTAGCTAAATTCTTTTAACATTAAGTTGAATACAAATACGAGTTCCTATATGAATCACCATGGTGGGGATAAGTGTAAAAGCACAAAAATTTCCTTGCATGTTTTGATTCCTTTATAAGAAACGACCTTTAAGACGGTTAGAAGTAATCAAATAGATCTACTGTTTGCGTACTTTATGGATGGTCGTCACCACTTGGTTTGCGTTTCTGTTCAATATTCAAATTTTAGGTCGCTTTAATGGAAGTATTTTCGCTTTTTATCAGGTCAGTTCAGTGCCAGATCTTGTAGAGCAAATTCATAGAACAACCGCAAGATTACTTCTTCACATTAGCGGGTAAGACACCATGTGGACCAATTGGATGCATTTTGTTGATAAAATAAACTACATTGTCTGATCATTTGATTATCCAGGGAAAAATCTATGTGATCTTTTGAGGGAAACTTATGTTGCAATACAGAATTCCATGTCACTGAGCTGCTTGATACATATCCTTCTCTTAGGGGGCATTTGGTTTGATGGAATGGTTTTGAGGGATTGGATTTCATGGAAGGATTTGGAATTGGAGGGATTTGGAATTTTTGGTGTGTATGGTTTCTAGGAATTCAGTTTCATTCTATATAAATAATTTATTAAAAAATTATAAATAAATATAAAAATAATTAAATTACCTGTATATTAATTGAGTATTACAAAACATTATTATATACAAATCCTACGAAATCCCTTGAAATATCAACCACACCAGTGAGATTTCAATGAAATTCTAGGATTTCAAATATAGGGAAATCCTTTTAACTAAACATGGGATTGGAATGGATTTCAATTCCAAATCCCTCCAAATCCAATCCAATCCTGCAAAGCAAACTAAAGGGGATCTTAGAACAATGATTGCCACTATTCTACCATTGCATGCTATCTTCATTCATAGATCTGTTTCTTATAGTATTTTGATTACTGCATTTGTAATGATTTTTCTCTGTCCATCATTAGAGCATATATGAAGTTCTGTGTGTTTAACTGGATCACTTGGCAGGTATGCTGATCGAATTGCCAATGCTAAATGGGAAGTTAAAGAGCTTGGAATGGAACATAATGGGTAATTAATAATTATGCTTTGCACCGGCATCTTTAGACATATCAATAATTATCTCCCTACTCATACTACTTGGTTAAAGATGTTGATCATAAATGATAGAGTGGACATTTATGGGCCAACTCTCTTACGGATCATATTTTTTTACTTTTTTCCCTTGTCATCTTCTTGAATCTGCATGCAATTAAGACTGAAATAATAATCCCCTATCTATTTTCTTGCATTACATTGATAATGGCCTGAACCATGAGTATGTTGTCTAATAAGCCCTGAGACATCTACCCCAATCACCCTGAGAAAAAGGACGAGCTACAATTAGCGTGAGAAACTATTCCCACTGATCTCCCCTCTTAATGATTGAAAAAATTATTCTCCAATGGGCTAAATCATCATGGTTAATAGGTATGTTGATCTATTGTTGGGAGAATTTAAGCACTACAAGACGAGGCTTGCTCATGGAGGCATTCAGCAGGAGGTAAAGGCTGGCACCAAAGCTTGTGTATTTTTTATTCTTTGGCGTATAGCCAGTAAGTCTATGCTGAAGTTCTCCATTTCTTATCTTCTCTGCTAAATAATTGATTCATGAAAAGTGTGGTGATCTCCTCACTTTTAAGCTGTTATCGACATTTGGATTAAAGATAAAAGACACCAGCATTTCACCCAGAAGAATACTAACTTTTGTTACAAACTATGTATGTAAACTCAGGTTCAAGATAAACTAATAGGGTATGGACTTGAAAATCTTTCCGAAACCATCGTTGAAGGCCTATCGCGAGTGAAGAGGTGCACTGACGAGGGACGAGCTCTTATGTCATTGGATTTTCAGGTTTTTCTTAAATTTCAACTTCATTGATTATGCTGCTTGCGTCTTCTGTTTCTGTATTTCTGTCCTTGCGTATGTCAAAAATGAGGGTCTTTGTTTCAGGTTTTAATCACTGGCCTTCAGCATTTTCTCATCATCAATGTGAAGCCGAAATTACAAAGAGTTGAAACTTTTATCAAGGTAACCAAAGAGGCAAAAACTGATTTGGTTGAAGATTTTTACACATTTGGGTATTCCGCATTATTAGATTTCAAGAAATACCTTCTTGTTATATGGGGAATAATTTCTCTTTCTGTCCTGCTATAACAGGCATTTTATCTTCCGGAAACTGAATATGTGCATTGGGCTTGTGCTCATCCGGTAAGATAGTCTGGTTCTAGTCTAATTCCTACATCATTTGTACACAGAATCTACTATATTTCATTGCTTGAACTTCTTTACCATATAAAATTCTATTAGCATGATACTAAAATGCTAACAATCATAGCTACATCTGCACTTCTGTCATAAAATTTCATGCTAGATGACTTTTTGCAAGCTTTTAAATATATTAAAATAGTCTCCACTGCATTGTTGTTTGCATATACTTTTTAAATTTAAAAAATGAGAAGAAATTGAGAAAGTTATATGTGGGATAGATCCATATATTCTAAAAGTTAAGGGGCTAAACCATAGCAGAAAGAAATGGCATACCCTTGTACGCTAAATATATTAAACAAATGCATACTTAGACTTGAGTCTTGGCTTGCTTTTACTTATACCAGGTGTCCTCATTATTTTAAACCTATTGAGAAATTTTGTGTTGCCTCCACCCTCCTTTCTTTCTAACAAAGCATAAGACACAAGTTTTAGTTTTATGTTTTAATCTTAATCTCTAATTTTGTAATTTGTGAATTTGCATCTCTACCTTTTTATAGAAGACTAAAAAGCCGCCCCTCATAAATCCAAACAGAACAAAACAAACACAGTAAATCCCACAAAGAGGTAGGATCTGGGGGGTAAGATATACGGAGGACCTTACCTCGATCCCAAGGGGTAGAGAGGTTGTTTCCGTGAAGACCCCCGGCTTGCAAACAAAAGTTGCTCCTCTTGTATCCTCAAATCCTATCAGCCAAATTAAGTAGTCGACAAATGGGGGATATGGTCAACACTACACCCCCATGAAGCACCCATTATGGGGATTTGGCAGGGGGTAAAAGCACCGACACTTCTTAGGGCCTGTTTGTTAGCAGCTTAATGAGACTTGCAACTTATTTGGTCAGTTATACATGACTGTTTGGTAATGGCTTAATGATGTAGAAAGTTGCTTATTCAGTAAGGTTCTAGAGGGGGCTTTATGGAGAAAGCGAAGTTTTTTCCAAACCTGGCTTTCCCAATCAAAAAACAGGCTCCTTCCATCTAATAAAAAACCCTCCCAAACAAAAACCTTCGCAATCTATACAGACAGATTAATCCACATAGACAACTTTATCCATACATGACTTAATGAAAAACCAACCAAACAGCCCTTAGCCTCACACAATATCTGACAGGAGAGCGGCAATGATTTTTATGTGAATGCATTAGGTTTGCAACTAATTTATGCAATCAAACTGAAGAAAGAGCTTTTTGCTTCAACAAACAAACTGATATTCTGTAAGATCCTAGAGGGGAGCTAAGGTTGCCTTATAAGGGACTGGATGCCTTCTCTATTAGACGCGTTTTTTAAAGACCGTGAGTCCAGGTGTGTGGACAAAGCGGACACTATTTAGTACGGTTAGCCTGGGATGTTACATATTCATTACGAACATATATTGATTGCACAATCATGCAAATATTTCATTACTCTTGCAGGAATACACGAAAAGCCAAATGATGGGGCTAATCAACCTTGTGGCCACCATGAAAGGTTGGAAAAGGAAAACCAAATCTGAAGTGCTAGAAAAAATAGAAGCAGCATGTGGCTTCTAGCTAATGTTATTTCTTTTGAAGAGAAACTCTGCTTCATACTTTTTCAACTGCAAAGACCGCGAAATCGTACACCGAACCTGCAACCCTGTCATCAACACTAAAAAGATTTTTCCTTGCTTTGTATGGAGGTTAGCTTTCAAACGCTTCATTTTCTCTACGTATGTATTCCATTTTTATGCTAATATGGTGTGTCTGAATTGAACCCATAAATCAAGGTGCAATATCTTGTCTAATTTGTAATATAACAGCTTCAAGTTGTCATTTTTCATGAATTAATTCCACCATTATTTAAGTTTCAAGTTTACATTCTAATTTTAGAATAAATGTTGTAATCTTAAACTGTTCTTTGTTTGAATTTGGCCATTTTTGCTTTGGAACAAGACTTAGGGGCCTTTTATCAAATGCTTACTCGGGTAAGCGCTTATCAAGTTGCATTCCCTTACCGGATGAATATGAGAAGGACCAAGAATCTTACCTGGTAAGAGCGAAGTCACGAACCGAGAGTGTTACCCGGTAAGTGATGGCGACGACTCTTACCACGGTTAGCGCTTACCGGGTAAATTATTACATACGATGTCATTTGGTAGACTAACAAGGCTTTAAAGTTGAAAAAGGGTCTAATTGGGTTTTTTTAGACTTAACCGAGCTTTTTTCAGGCTTTTTCAAGCCCGTCTAGCGGTCTAGGCGTCTACTCCTAAATATTGGGTCTGGCCCGAACCATATTTCAAACTCACTAGGCCGGGCTTTTTTGGATCAGGCTCGGGCCATGGCCAAGCTTTGGGATTGAACTCTTTTTACATTTGTACTAGTTAATAGTTATTAGACTTTGTTAAATATTTTTCATAGTTTAGACTAAATACAAACAATTATTTTTAAATGTCATGAAAATTTGCAAATATTTGGACGATATTGATTTTGATTTACAAGATTTTTACATTAATGTAATATTTGTACTTTTAAATAATAATCAAACAATTCTAATAAATTATTCGTCAAATCAAATATTATTCATCAAAGGGTTTTTTTTTTATTAATCTGGATATCCAACTCGTTATGCGAGCCGCCTAATCCCAAGGCGACCACCTGCTTTGCAGATAGTCCGGAATTACCGCATCTAAACCTCCGTGACCACAATGAAATTTTTATTTCTTCTTGGATTTCATATGTGTCTTTATAATAAAAAGACATATGTATCTCTTTCAATTGTGTTTGCTAATAAGAAAAGAAACAAAAGGAAATGTTATATATTTCTAGTTTCAACAATATGCCTCGAAAAGAAAAATCGCAAATTACATAAAAAAATAACGTACTTTAACTTGATTCATATTTTGTGTAACGTACTTTCAAAACTTCAATTTCGGTACCTAAGATGTAAAGTTTTAAACAATTAAGTACCCGGTTAAACATGTTGAAACATTAACCGGTTAGATTAAGATATCCATGTCGGCAAATAATAGTGAGTTGAATACAACATCACTTGCCACATCAACATGGTAACAGGTTAATGCTTCAATCGCTTACCCGAGTATTTAAATATTTAAAATTTTACATCTTAGGTACCAAAATGGAAATTTTAAAAATACAATGTTTTAAAACAAGCATGTGGCCAGGATCATAAATTTAATTCAACACCTTGTCGTAAAAACTCCACTCCTTTTCAACAGATATGAATAATTACACCTATAAAAATTCCATTTATCATATGATCCATTAATAACTATAATCAAACAAATGAATTACTGGTCCACTGACCAAAGAATTGCTGGCCATGGCTTGTTTGTTTGGGTCTTGAATTCTTTAAGACATCACCAGAACATGTGAACTGTTTTCAGACATTCAAATCTTAAAATATATTCCTTTAATAAAAACCAATTAAAAAAAAGGAAAAGCCAGTCCTTTTCCAGAGCTAAAATTCTAAAGGCCAGATTAACTTTTCTCTTATGACATGTACATGATGCATTATAGTTGTATTATGCTCTGGATTTAAGATTCTTGGCTCTGGAGAAGGGACTAACAGAAAAAGACCATACTGGGTCTGACTGCAACATAACCCCATTTCTCTGATCCATCTTGTGTCCTCATGCTTATGCCAATGGCTGATCTTCCATAAAAATATGAAAGAATGAAGAGAAATGCAGGGTTTTTCCATGTGATAAAAAGAAAATATGTTAACCCAATAACTTTGAATTTAATTTAAAACCATGGTGAAAGTTATTGATAGCCTACAACTTTAAACTTATAAGAAGCTTACAAGTCTACTCATCTATGTTACAAACTCCCCCACTTAGATTTCTGACGTCCTCTTCAGGTTTGCACATAATCTTTCTCTTTATAATCCACGATGTGGGATTTGCTTAAAATGTTACAAACACCCCCTCTCGAGAACTCATCACACCTGATGACGACGTTTGCCCCACCATGCCGATGGTACAAGGATCGCCCCAATTTCTATAAACACTGATTATTCATTTATGTTTTCATTTTCCCCAACTCTTGTTCATGAATTCTTCATCATTCAATCTCTTTTTCTCCATCTCCATCACTTGAGATAAGAAGGAAATGAAGAACAGTAGTTATATTAAAAAGAATCATTGTAAGTTTCATGGAATGTATAGTAATGAAATAATAGAAAAATTACCATAGAAAACCATTTTCAGATAAATATATCAGATGGTGAAATAACAGTTTCGTTTATAAGGCTAATGATTGAGAATTATGACCATATAAATAAATGTTGTATGTAAAATGACTTAAAATTCCAATTAAAATGCAAATTAAAACAAATGTTTTATATCTCGAAAGCCTCCCTTCCTCTCCTAGCCATTTTCGCTAAAAGTATGACTTCTACTTCGTTATTCTTCATGTTTCTTTCTTTGGATCGTATTTTATTTTGTAGACACCGATGAACGAGTAATGCTTCCCACCATCGCCAATGATAAACACGGTTGATCTACTGGTACCTGAAAATTGCAACGCTCCAAAAAAAACACGAAATCTACTTAGAGAAGTCTTTTTCGATGAACTAAACTCGTCAAGACTTAAATACGATACCGACTAGAGATTCTAACATATACAAAAAGTTGCCGAAAATATCAAATTTAAAAATGACCCTTCTATTATTATTAAATTACAAAACCGACACGATGAGATGTTTCCTGATATATGTGATCTTGTGACAGTATGTCGTTCTGCTCTTTGAGGTAGAATACAATCAAAAACATTTGTACGTACATCCCACCCAAGAGATAAAGATCTCGTGTCCCAAATTTTTACGTCCGATTCTTGTCCAACAATCACATGAACGCAAATCGTCATATAAAAATCGTGAACTTTAATTAAATAAATTTAAAATATATAAAAATCTGATGTGTCTTAATTTCATTGGTGGGACAACGATACATATAATTTTGGAAGAACAAATTTTTATACTGAGTGGAATATATTGGGTTAGAGGCTGTTTACCAAACACTTACCTGGTAAGTGCTTATCGGTAAAATTTAACACTATCATTTACTCACCGGGTAAGATTTTAGTCCACCAAAATAGTATCGTATGGAACAATTTACCCTGTAAGCGCTTACCGTGGTAAGAGTCGTTGCGCTCACTTACCGGGTAAGACTTTTGGTCCTTGTTTCGCTCTTATCGGGTAAGATTCTTGGTCCTTACCATATTCATCCGATAAAGTAGTGTGACTTGATGTTCACTTACCCGAGTAACCGTTTGGTAAACGGCTCCTAAGACTTCAAAAATAATGATGAGTATTAGAAACATAAGGGGGTAAAAGTGTAAAACTTACAAAGTGACCAGCTTCAAGGATCCAATAGAAGTGCAAGTTTCTATAAGACTTGGTGAACCCTTTGGTAATTTTTTCATCTCCACAGTATAATGGAGTTCTATCAATGCTCAAGAATGTCTTCAGACCTTCCCACCTTTGTCATGAAAGAAAAACACAGAAGGGTAAAATAGTAATTCTACTTTGAATGCGTACATACATATATATATATATGTATATATATATAGATGATCATGTGAGACTAGACTATTTTCGTGAGACACATGAGACCACATAAATAACAATGAAACTTCACCGTAAAACACTATGAAGGAAAACATTCACATCGTTTTTACTATGAAGGTTCAGTGTTTTTCGTACCTTCACAATGTTTTGCTGTAAAGTTTCAGTGTTATTTTGTGATCTCGCTGCTCATGGATCTTATGGAAACAAGTTCGTCTCATGTGAACTCAACCCATATATACACACACACATATATATAGGACATGTTCAAACAAGAAGTTTATCACATATGATTACACACATGATACACAAGCTTAATCATATATGATTAAACACATGTCGCATTGAAAACACATTCACACTTAATCATATATGATTAAACACACCCAAATGAGTATAATCATATACGATATTGAAACTTCTCGCATTTTCGCAAAATGTTTAACTTCTCGTATGATATCCCCCCTCTATATATAAGTGAGAGTAAAAGAGAATTTTACTTGAGTTTTTCCACCCATGCTTCTGTTCCCTTTGTTGCACATATGACATCAAGCTACAAAAACACAAACTCATCATTCAGTGAATTTTTATTTTCACAAAGGGTCGTTGGCTTAGCAATATCCCGGTTATCAGTAAATCCCGACCTTCCTTGGGGTCAAGGATTCAAACCTCACCAAAACTGAGGAATGTGTGTGAATTTTGCCGTATATCAATATATATAAGGGCCGATTCAGATAATCGTGACAAATTAAGAAAAGAAGATTCATATGTGAATCATTGCAAAATAACGAAAAAAATGTATTTAAAGATGCATATGTGAACTCATTTTACAAATTATTCATATAGATTCACATATGAATGCTCAATATCGATTTCTTTATGAATCTTTCCTTATATTTAGTCTTCTTATTTGAACCTGCCACTGTATATTTAGCAAAGAGAGAAAGAATCTTACTTGACCATTATATATAGTCACATTCACTCCCTTACTCAAGAGTTCATCAACCTACTCAAGAACAATAAACAAAACCATCGTTAGTCGAACTTTTTGATCCCTGATATGATGATATCTTGTTCTTCGTCATTAGAATCTTGCCTCGTTGATTCTCGGTCGCATGAAATCGCCTTCTAAGTAGTCAAAAACGAGACCCGACTGTCCTCCCCATCTGTTGAAAAACATAACTCCAGTCTATAACTTTTATTGAATGGTGGTTTTGAATTTAAGAAAAGAATGTAGACTCACTCCACATTGTTCGGGATAATCTCAAGTTTCTTTCTAATGGCACCATTCATCAAGTTATCAAGATCACCATTTGAACCTGGAGAAGTCTTCAAAGAATCAAGATACCGTGAGTAACTCTTCCTCGCGGCTCCTCTCACCAGCGTTGTCGCTGTCATCGATACCGGATCCATCCCCGCATCCAACAAGAAATTGTAAAAATCCTACAATCAACCAAAAAATTTGTTTTTTTTTCCGTGAGATATGTGGGACACCATGAGATTACTCTCCAAAAAGCTCTCGAGGAGAGAAGGGAAGTTTGAACATATATTGCAGTATGCGGGACTTTAACACGCCCCCTCTAACTGAGGCTAGAAGGGCATAGATGCCCCACAGGTAGATCTTGGCTCTGATAACATATGAGAAATATACCAAAGGGCATTTAGCCTAGCAGTATCGTAGCCTTTGGCCTCCTAGGAGGTCAGGGGTTCAAACCTCACCATAGATGTGGAGGGTGTATGAGTTTATTTGTTGCATTTCCGGTATATAAGTATTATATAAATTCTAGCTGGTGTGGGACTCTAACATCTTATTTGTGATATGCAATGTATTTTGATCTGATTCTTATTTTAGATAACATACTTTCAAAACCTTCATTTTGGTACCTCAGATGTGTATCTCAAACATTTAGATCAAAGTACGGCACACAAAATATGAATCAGAATAAAGTACGTTGCATTTTCATGCAATTATGAGATGTAACTAGATAACAATGTCACATCTAAGGTACCAAAATAAAGGTTTTGAAAGTACGTTACATTTTCATGCAATATGGCCTAAAAAGAAGGTTTTAAAAGGGAAGAAAACGAGATAGATTTGCTAGTTGTATCGAGTAAAACATACAACGGAGTTGCTGCTTGCGCTAATCACTTCTTCAAGATCACTCCATGTTTCTGTAGCATCTTTCCATTTCCCATCAGCTATTTGCTGCTTTATCTTCTCCACTAGACTGTTTCCTGAGATGGGTTTGTCAGATAATAGAAAGTCCAATCCAAACCAATTCTCAACTTATACACCCATAACACACACAAACACCACAATTCACACACTTGTTCATGTACCTGCTTGATTCTATCAACCCATTGTTGTCTATCCTTGAAACATCCTTCAGAAGAGGACCCCATGATACCTTATATTTTCAATTTCAAAGATTTTAGAAAAGGAACACCATCTTTGATATGTTCTAACGAAAAGTTAAAACAAATCAAGAAAAGTTACCACAAAATCTTCAGGTGAGATCCAACTATCTCCCAATGCAATACCTGAAAACAAATCATAAATACTGTATCAAAATGGGGTTCTTTTTGGTATAGAAAGGTGCATACAATCAAGTAATCTTAGTGTTAAAAATGGTGTGTATACCTCCAAGAATGAGCTTTAGCTTTTTAGCTTCAATGGCTTTAAGAGCAGAAAGTCCAAGAGTGACTGCAAATTTGCCACCATAGGACTCTGCCACTATATAAAGAGGGCTCTTTTGGAGGGTTTCATTTCTATTGAAGATTTCAATCAACAATGTGGTTAAATCAGTTGCAGCTTCTTCATCAGTTTTCACCAGTAGCTTTTTATCTTCAACAAAACTGTATCCAGTCCCAACTGGATTATCCTAATTTCCCACCAACATTATCAAATGATTTTAGAAGAAATTCAAGAAACACTGTGTTAAATCAAGAAAAAAGGATCCTCTATCCTAATTTCCCACCAACATTATCAAATAATTTAACCCCAATTCAAGAAACACTGTGTTAAATCAAGAAAAGGGTTCTTTATCCTAACTTCCCACCAATATTTGGAAATAATTTAAACAGATTTCAAGAAACATTGTGGTAGTTCTTGAAAAGGTTCCTGAAAACAGAAGGGTTGGCTAGTAATTGCATACCACAAACAATAGGTCTGCCTTTCTCAGCCATGTAGAGTTTCTTGGCTTCAAGAAAGAGTCCAATGGCCCCACCTCTTCAAAATTTCCAGTCCCAACTCCTGAAGCTCCCTAGATGTATGTCAAGAACACATAAAGGTTTACAAACAGATGTAAAGAATAGAACAAATTGCGCATCTGAATAGATACAAATACTTACAGGTCCCCCTTGCAACCAAAGAATTATAGGCCATGGACGTTTTGGATCTTGACTTCTATAAGGACTTTTGTAGTACCACCAAAACATATGAGCTTCTGTGTTCATAAACACCCCCAAAAAAGCAACACACAAGAAATCAAGAAAATTGAATCTTGAAAATGGGTTAAAAAGGAAATCAAGAATGTCAATGGAAGTTGAATCTTGAAAATGGGTTTTTTTTTTATTTTTGAAGGAGAACAGAATCATTGAAGCTTACTAGGTCTGACTTCAACATAACCCCATTGTTCTGATCCATCTGGGGTCCCTGCAGCCATGGCCAATCTTCCATGGAAAAATGGGAGAAAGAATAGCACAGCTGAAACAAGAAACAAAGCCACAAAATGGGATCTTCCCATTTCAAGAAAAGCTGAAAAGAATCACAAACTCAATTCCACCCACTTGTTAGAATGCAGATTTCAGAGACGAACTGATCTTTATATATATATATATATATATATATATATATATATAAAAAAAACAAGAAAAAGGCAATTATTAGGGAGATGGTTCTGTCTACTGAAGTCTACAAGACTATAACAGAAAGAACAGATTCTATATTTAAATCCCAAAAATACCCTATCTTTCAGGGGAGATAATAAAAGATTGGATAGATTGCAGTGAAAGTGGGTGAATTTAGGAGCAAGGGATAAGATTGGTGAAGATGGAGTGTAAAGAAAGGTCAATTGATGTCAATAATAGACTTCACACAACCATTCTTCTGATCATAAATATACCTTCTGCTCTCAACATCCAAAAAGTAAAATTCTGAAAAAATCCCACCAGAAATTACTGGTCCAGCTCCATCATTAGGTTTATGTTATTGTTGTTTTGAGTATGTATGATTTGGGGGTGTTTGGGTAAGCTTATTTAAAACAACTTATACTTTTTTGTAAAAGTGCTWATTAACTTATGCGGTATCAAACTGGAGTTTTGTAAAAAGTGTTTGGATTAGCTTATAGCGGTACCAAAATGCAAAATGACCAAAAAGGACAGCTCATTTTTAGGTTATCTTCTACCCTATATCAGTTGATACGCAGGTAAAGCATCAGGTATATGAGTTGAAGAAAAAGGGTTCATATTTGAAACCCTAGAATCGTTGGAAGTTGGTGAAGCGAAGGAAGAAGCAGGAAGCGAAGGAAGAAGCAGGAAGAAGGAAGAAGCAGGAAGCGAAGGAAGAAGCAGGAAGCAAAATGCAAAGCGAAGGAAGAATCAGGTATATCTTCTACCCCAAAATGCAAAGCGAAGGAAGAAGCAGGAAGCCGGCGATGAGAAACCAGAGGACTTGCCGGCGATGAGAGGGGAGAGACGGATGCGATGAGAGGAGAGACGGATGCGATGAGAGGGTTAAAAGGGTAATATGTCAAATAAGTCAAGAGGGAGTAACTTATCAAAAACAACTTATTACCGGTTTGGCACCGGTATAAGCAGTTTTTTTTTTTTTCACATCCAAACACTCAAAATAACTTATCGGCGGTTGTGGACTGAAATAAGTTGATAAGCACCTTAAATAAGCTTTCCCGAACACCCCCTTGATATGATAATTCTTAATGATTTGATGATAATCGGATAAAGATGATTGATTTAATCCACATGAATTAGTGATAATGTTTTAGATTTTAATGATAATTGTATAAAGATGATCCACAATTAATGAAAATGCTTAAAATATTGATTATGGTTGGATAAAGAATGGAGGATTAAAAGTTAGAGAAAATTCATGTTTATTTTTAATGGTTTTTCTTTTTGGTAGATTATAATATGAATTATCTTATACCATATTATAAAGCATTTTATAAAAATTCTTAAAAATCATTTTTTATGCATAAAGTACTGTTTATTGATGCATATTACTTAAAATTCAATATCACAAGTAAATTGTGCGTAAGTAAAACTTATTAAAGCTTCATTTTTGAATTCGTAACTAACTATAGATAAACATAATCAAATATGGGATAAACATCTCATTTAAATATAAAAAAATTAAATATAATTAAGATAATCATTGAGTTCTAACAAACTATTTAACTATTATTTTTATAACTATTTATATTATTAAACTAAAAATAAAAAATGAATTTAAAAAATCACATAAAAATGATAAGTTTTAAATAGTTAGTTTGTCACTGATATCAATAACTTTTTTTTCAGTTTTTTATGATACATCTTCATATTTATATTTTATTCAAAAATAAAAATATTATCGTTTTCTCAAAACTACATAGAATAGTATTATAACATCAATTGTGACAAAAAAACGAAACATTAAAATCGAGATGTATCTCGCTGCATTGTGCGAGTACCCTTATAATATTATTAAAATATTTATAAAATATTATTTCTCGTACTTGTAGATTTAATTTCAAGAATTTTCATTGATAGGAAATATAAAAAAATGATTTCTCTTTTAGGTAATCATTATTTGGAGAATTCTCCGAATTTGAAAATTTTCAACTTCCTACTTTATTTAGGGATTTATTAGTTAGAATAAAAATCTTCAAAATCTCCATTTTTAAAGAATCTATTAGAGATGTTTTCATCTAATATTGATGACGATATTAAAATTTTTTGATGTTAATCTTCTAAAGATGGTCGGTTTTAACTCGCATGGTATTATATAATTTTTTTTATTAACTTGGATATCCAACCTGCTATGTGAGCCGATTAATCTCAGGACGACTATCTGCTTTAATGGTAGCCTGGAGTCACTGTATTTGAGCCTCTGTGGTCACAAGGGGATTTTTATTTCTCATTGGATTTGAATCTGAGACCTCCAGACAGTTTTGATCTTTGGAATCCAAGCTCAAACCAATCAAGCATCATCCTTGTGGTTTTAAAAAATTAATGATAATCGAATAAAGATAATGCATTTAAGATGATTAGGATAAGTTAAGTAGAGTGATGATTACATCGCAATAATAAGCGAATAAAATAATACGAAAACGGTGAAATCACGTATAAAATTACATGTAATTCTATACATGTAAATTACATCCAAGTAAGATTGTGCAGGTTATGTAGTCGTATGATTCACATGTGAATTCTCTTATTTGATTATTATTCTCTTATGAATGTAACTCATCCTAATGTATACAATTTAAAAGCCATAAGAATTAAAAATACAGTTTTATCATACACCATACAACTAGCGTAAAAAATATGTCATTTTTGTATTTGTCTTAACATTAAAAATGTGATTGATTTTAAAAATATATTCAATATTGGGTTCATATGTGAATTAGTTAATTAATTTATATGTGAATTACATGAGTTTACATATTAACATATAGTTCATACGTGAATCACACAGGTTCACATATACACTTGTTTTGTCGTCTATTTATAAAAGTTACAAAACTACCTATCTATCTTCCATACACTATGCAAGGAATTATCCGGTGTTTCACAATTAAAACCGCAAATCTTAACCAGATGAAGTGATATAATCACTTCTCTACTTCTCAAATACTTACCACTTCTCAAATGAAATTATGAAAATCTAACTATTTTGTCTAAACCATTAACAAGATATCAGTTTTCCATCAACAAAAATGGTATTTTGCAATTGTGGAGTTCTCGATAATTATTTAGATGATGTTTCGTTAAGTCTTAGATTAGTTAATTTGCCTATTTGGGTAAATTTGTTTGTCCCCGAGATACGAGATTGACGGGTTTGAGGGAGGACAAAAAAAAGGTTGGAATGTTTCTAGGATTTTTGGTATTAATTTATTCGAAGTGACTTAATGAGAACCAACGAGGGGTCTTGACTGATCCCATATAGCAGTTTTGACTTAATTGCTTAACAATTAAGCCGTAAAGAAACACTCATGTATGATAAAGAGATCTAAATCACGCAGACCATTAAGCTTATTAAGTTATAATAAACAACCGAAAGACTATAATATTCGTTTCTTCAGTAAAAAGTTATAACGTCTTGTCATGCATACAAACTATAAAGTTTACTTGATAACCAAACTGTCTATAAACACGTTAAATCTTGGTTCCTTAAGAGGGCCTCCATTTTACTTACGTCCAGGCCTAGATTTAAAAATTTATTTAATTTATTTCAAAATCAAATACTGTTATATTATTTCAGAAATTATCTATACTATCTTATAAAGCAAATTTAACAAAAGTCTTAAAGTCTTAAAATACTAAATGACCAAGATACCCTTTATATCATTTTTTTCATTTTTTCACCCCATCCTATCCTCACATACACTCTCACTCTCTCACAACCGATTTTTTTAAAGTTATAATTTTAAATTTACACTTTATACCTCTATAATTAGTTAATTAATTTACTTTACGTCCTTTACTTTTAAATGTTTCATTTTAAACCTTTATCAAATTAATATACATAATCGTATATCAATTAAAACATGTTTAAAAAATATATTTTTGTTTTAACAAGTTACACTATTATAATCGTCTCGTTAATACCTTCGAAATGAGTCCAATATTGTATAGTTTTTGACTTAATTATATTATTATATATACTATGAAAAATTATTTTTAATATTTACGATTTATACTTTTATAGTTATTTATTTATATATATRCTATAYATTTTGGGATTAGGCTGTCCAAATTGCACTGTATAATATGTTCTGAATTAATATGTTCTTGTTTTTTTTAAATATATATATATACATGTATTAATTCAACCTTAATATGAGTTTTTGGACAAGAAAGAGGGTAAACAGCTGAAATTTCATTCTAAAATCCATCTTTTTTGGTCTTTTCATGGCTTATGATCTGTCAAATTTRTAGTTTTCTTTATTGGTTTTGAGTGTTTATCTTAAAACTCAAGTTTCTTGGTTCTTTGCTCTTGGTGTAAATCGAACACATTTGTGAAGTCGTTTAAATATGTTGGATTTTAAATATATTGGATTTTAAACTGTAATACAATTTTTTTCATTGATAGTCTGTAATTAGAACCATAACTCTTATTTATTCAAATTGTATTAATATGTAAAAACCAAGTGTAACATATATCATCATTAAAAATTATCTTATAAAACCAATGGAACTTCAAAATCGTTAAAATTTATGGCTCCCATTACATTGCGCAGATACACAATTAGTCAATAAAAAATAAACACGACTCTAAGATTTTTTCAACTTTATTATTAATTAAAGACTAAAAAGTCGAGCCCTACACTTCACGGACCACATAATTTATTATTATTTATTATTATTATTATTATTTTTTAAGCGTAGAAAAGCTATTGATGACGACGTGGAATATTTTTGGTTTAAAGCAACAACAAAAATAAAATATATTTCAATTCAAAATTAACCATAAAAATAGTGTCGGGTTGATTTAAGTTTAATTTCCAAGATCAAAAGTGTCTGAAGATCTCATATTCGAATCCAAAAAGGAATAAAAATCATATTATGGCTACAGAGGTTCAAATGCAAGGACTTCGCCGTAAAGCGGGTGGTCACTCTAA